CTGACCTACAGAACCTCTCTGACCTACAGAACCTCACTGACCTACAGAACCTCACTGACCTACAGAACCTCACTGACCTACAGAACCTCTCTGACCTACAGAACCTCTCTGACCTACAGAAAATCACTGACCGACACAAGATGAGGTCAGTGAACAAGGCCAGGCTGATTCTGGCAGATCCTGATCACCACTCCATGGTGACCTCAGGTTGCTTCCATCTGGACGCAGGTATCTGCTGCTCAGATGTAGAACGAACAGAGATGATTTCTGTTATTGAAATGTTTTAATGTTTTGTCTTGTGGATGTTTATGTGTCTGCTGACTGTGAAACTAACTGCCCCTTGAGGATAATAAAGATTCTTGAACTTGAAGTCTAGGTCTGATCATCAGTGAATCCATTTTTTTCTACATCTGCTTCCTCTTGGCGGTACGAGTCGATCCTGCAGGATCTGGGTTTGCTCTCATGCGTTTCGTGGGTCTGGTTCGAGGCTGTATGGGTGCCAGGGTTGGGTTTAAGGGCAGAGTCGAGTTTGAGTTTGTTTCCGGTACAGGGTAGATTCCTCCAGGGCCGTCCCTGGTCTCTGATACTGTCCCTGGTGTCTGATCCTGACTCCAGAGACTAGGGACAGGATCAGAGAGCAGGGAATGGATCCTGTCCCTGGTCTCTGATACTGTCTCTGGTCTCAGGTCCTGTAACTTTGAATTTATGGACAGAAGCAGGATGCTCCTTCTGGGTCTGGGATGATTCTTAAGGCTCATTTATCCTCAACATTAAAACACCATAGTCTACAGAACCTTCAGTGTCCTGTCTGGATTCATCTTCTGCGTGTTTCAGAAAGTTGTCTGAACTTGTGGATGTGTAACCGAACATAAACTGAGAAGGTCCAATGGAAACCGGGGAGGCAGTGCAGTAACCTTCACGTGGACCCGTCACCATGTCTGAAACTGACCTCAGGACTCGGCACTGCCCTCTAGTGCTCAACAACCACACCAACATGAAGAACCCACGGGGAGTGAGTGGACAGAGACGTGTGACCCAAACAGACCTCCATGAAGTGAGCATCAACTGTTCACTGCGTTCGTCTCCTTTAACCGTCCGGATGACACTCGGTCATGAACACAAACAGAAAGACGGTTTCTGTGGTACGAATCGAGGAGGTGCTGAAGGAGTCTGAGCAGGCCGACTACATCTACTGGCCCTCCCATCGAGGAGAAAACTCCTCGACTGCTCCTCACCTGCAGCAGGTAGCGCATTTGTTGTTTGGTCAGTTCAGTGGCTCCTTTGGGAATCAGAGCCTCCACCTCCTCTTTCTCCACCTGCAAACACACAAACGGATGAAACAAGCAACAAACAGACTTTCTGCTCACGCTCACACGTGCACGACCAGTGAGCAAACTGCTTCAACCTGTTCCCGTGTGTCGCAGGAGCTCATATAGTCTGTGAGAGTTTTAGGCTTTAGGTGTGTTTTGAACACGTGCAGTGTTGTGTCTGTGGCTCCGGCTCAGATGTTTCTCACCTTGTAGTCGTTGGAGAAATCCAGCTGGTGTTTCCTGCAACACACCGAGAGGAAAGACAAACAATGAGGGGAGCAGCAAGCTGAGGTGTGCATGTGTGTGCGTGTGCATGTGTAAGTGAGAGAGAGAGGAGGAAAGAATGTGTTGTCACGATGAACTGGGAGTTTTTCTCACGATGGTTCAGGAATCTTGTGTGTCGGTGGCAGAGGTGCGGATGTTTGAGTCTGAGGTTTGTTTTTCACTCGGGGCTTCGTGACGTGCGGTCGGGACCACCCTCAGTCACTGCTCAGGTTTCACACGACTAGACGATCACATGTTTACACAACACATTCCACCACGACCAGTTACTAAACAGAAATAAAATATTAAAACTGGTCCCAGCCTGCTGCTGCCACAGGATCTCAGAGGTGACTGATCCTCATCTGGAGGTTCTGCTGCTCTGGAGCATACAGATGTGTGTTCACACCATGCCAAGGCAGAAAGACATCAGCAATGACCTCACAGAAGCAGCTGTTGCTGCCTATTGATCTGGGAAGGGTCAAAGGTCACTTCCAGAATAACTGGAGTCTATCGCTGTACAGAGAGAAGAATTATTCATGTGGAGTGAATGACTAAACAAATTCACCCTGAAGGTCAGACCGTGCAGTGATCAGAGAAATTAGCTCCACCTCAGACTCTACAAACCTCAATTAGCAGGCCAAAGGTCAAAGATCATGGCCTCTTCGCTCTAAAAACAACATGGCAGATGGACGATGTTTACCCAGAATGCACTGCAGCAAACCGCTCCTCCCAGCTGTCAGCACGGTGGTGGAGGCTGATGGTTTGGACTCCTGTCAGTCACTGAATGGAACAGGAAGTCCTCTGTAGCCAGAGGGTGCTGGAGTCCAACTGCTGAATCTTGGACCAAACTGGGTCCAACAAAACCATGATCCAGAACACAGCAAATGATCCACAACAGAATGGGTCAGAAAGAACAGAACCAAGGTGCTGCAATGGTCCAGTCAGAGACCAGAACCTCATTCTGACTAAAATGCTGGACGAGGTCTTCAGAGACCTGAGCAGAACCCAATGATGTAAAGAAGAGTGGGCCAGAACGCCTCCACAACCATGAGTGAGACTGATACAGAAACCCACTGAGAGTCCTGCTGAAGGAGGTTCTGCTGGGACAAGAGCTAGACCTTGTGCCACGCTGGACTCTGCTGTGTGTTTTTGTTCACCTCCGGTTAGATTGATTGCATAACTCAGATCACATGTTGCTCCACCGTGGTTGGTGTGAACATGTGGGCGTGTCGTGAACATGTGGGTGTGTCGGAGCCGAGTGGTTGAAGTCTCTCATACAGGTGAAAAGTTGAAGATTTATGGTCTGAAGGCTTCACTCTTTAACAAACACGCTTCAAATATAACGACGCCACATGAATCAGTTGGGTTTTTACGTGACAGGCAGAAACCTTCGCTTCATCAGCTCGATCTCTGACTGGATGGATTAGACCAGCTGACACGTCAACATGCTCTTCGTTTAAACCAGGTGTTCTGGATTTACCTGCCTGAAGGACTTCACTCAGATCTGTGAGAACAGCTCTGCTGCTTTAAAAGGTTTACTGATCTCATAAAGCTGTCCTGGTTCCTCGTGTTGTGATGCCCGTAAAGATCGAACTAAAACATACAAACATCATCACTCTCCTCCGATGACCGAGCCACTTAAGTCTGCACCAGATCTGTGAAGAAGTCCAAACTTCAAATACCCAAAATGAAGACAAGTTCATTCCAGAGCAGTTTCATCAAGTTATCACGAAGTAAAGCAATAAATAGCACATTATTTTTTACAAGTTACCACAAGTTTCCATAAAGCCTAGTAAACCACATGGTCAAAAACAGAAGCAGGGTTCCAGAACCAAAGCATTCCAACATAAACTGCTTTAGAGCGCCATTCTTTGCAGACGATCTGAGGGTTTATTCAAAATGGATCAAGACACACTGCACTCTCCACAACCTTTCAGAACAATGCTGAATCACAGTTTATCTGGAAATGTACCTTTACTGTGAAGACAGTTTTTATGCTCTTAGAATTCTCCAGATTGTTTTTCCAGGTATTTTCTGTGTCCAACAAACATTCTCCTGTACGCTTACCACGCTCTATACGCTCACCCTGAGTCGACTCGCTCAGATCCCATCAGGAAGAAGCTTAGGTTCTTTCCAGGACTTTGTTGCGATCAAGATCAAAGCCTAGGCATGACGCCAGCATGACCAGTCCTGGTTCAGATTGTCAACACTGCTGTGCCTGAGCCCTAAGTTACGATGCTAGAGCCATGAAACCCTGTAAACCCCCACAAGATCAATGGAGTGTTTGTATAAGCTCTAAACCATCTTGGACCCATCACACAGAACCAGGAGACCTCTGTGTTCTTAATCTGGACCAAGTCCTGAAAAGACCATCCACGTTCTGGTTGATGATTGTTCTTCATCTCAGGGTCATTTATTATGAAGTGGTCCTTCTAGGGAACAAAACAAGACACGAGGCTTCACCTTTTTCTCCAGGGTGGGACGTCTCAAGGTGGTTACAAACACACAAAACACCCTCAGTAAGAACTAAAGTGATCAAACAGTTCACAGAAGCAAACAATCCAAACTGAGCTCAGAGTCAGCACAACCCTTCTGACATCTGAAGAAAATCGGAGATACTCATGTGACACTTCCGAACTTTGGCCACGCTGATAAAAAGTTTTAGTAATTGTCAATGTTAAAAGAACAATTTAAACATGAATCACGAGTTTAACCCACTCCACGGTGAGTTCAGGTGTCTTTCATCACTCCATGGTGAGTTCAGGTGTCTTCCATCACTCCATGGTGAGTTCAGGTGTCT